ACCTTAAATCCAGTAAAAATAGAACAATAATTAACAGAACAAACATTTTCGACCATGTATAATGGCCATCTTCAGGTTCTAGAATGGAATTTAATCCTTATGTATCCAGACTTTGTGGACACCCTGTATATTAATACTTGTGGCCCAAAACTCCAAGACTTCTTCCAATGTGGCCCAGAGAAACTAAAAGGTTGGACACCCCTTATTTAACTAATCATAAAAATATAAATTATTATTTTTATTTAGAATAGTGTAAAATAAAATTCTATTGCTGTACCTAAGGCAGTGGTGGCATTTCGGTCTGTATAGAAATACAAAGATGCATCTTTAAGGATAAAATATCTTCTTTTCCAAGTTTTCCATCTCTGGCTTAATTTGCCAAGATAGCCATGGCAATCAGGATTAGATATAGATATAGGTGGAAGTTGCACATTTCTGAGAATCAAGTCCAGATATGGATCCACCTACAGAGGTTATGAGTAGATATATAGTTAGTGTTTTAATTCAAATTTTATGTAACATAACTATTTGTATATTTTAAATAATCAAGTTATTAGTAATTTGTATAATATTTAAATTAAAATAGAAAACAAATTTAAGTGCTGTAAGCTAGAACTTCTAGATAATATTATAAAACACCTTTCTCCCTTTTTCTAGTAAATTTGAATTAAATGAACTGACATTTCCAGCTATTTTGAATAGCCTTCCTCAGGTTTAACATAATTTTGAACATCAATTAGAACAAAAGATTTAGGATTTCAAGCTTCGCTTGCATTCTTATCATGTCATGGTATTATATTAAATTTAACATATGATTTTAATTTTGTTTTATGTTTATCTATATATTTATTTTATTTTATTTAAATTGTATAAGTTTAAGAATCCTAATTTTTGTAATACCATGACATCGTAAGAATGCGAATGAAGCTTGAAATCTTAAATCTTATGTTCTAATTGATGTTCAAAATTATGTTAAACTTGAGGAAGGCTATTCAAAATAGCTGAAAATGTCAGTTCATTTAATTAAAATTTACTAGAAAAAGTGAGAAAAGTGTTTTGTCATATTATAATAAAATAGAAAACACAGATGAATTTAAAATTTTATAATAAAATCAAACATACTACAAAAATTTTATATATTGTTAAATCATACGATAGTTTGTACTAATTATTGGTACAAACTAGTTATTTTGAAATTTGTTACATATGATTTAGATTCATATATTTATTCTTTTAGTTGAATTAATAGAGTCATTTAGTTAAATATTAAGTAAAAATAACAGAATTAGTTAGTAAAATATTTTCAACTGTATTATTATTTTTATCTATTATTTTGAAAGCTAAAAATATTTTATGATATTGAATGAGAATTTTAAAACTTATTGAAAAATAATGTTAATCAAAATGCAGTAAAATTAATTTTATATTGCACCATACATAAACATATTATAAAAAATTAATAAAAAGAAATGATTTTACCTTACTAGCTGATGTGGCTACCTGAGTCAAGGCACTGATCCATCTGAAACACATAATTGTTATAAAATTATCCAGTTTTTTTTACTTTAATATTTATATAAAACTACTAATGAAAAAATAAGGTAAATTAATAATTAAAATACTATATTTAAAATGTTTTACATTCAAATTTCATTGAGTATAATTTTATATATAATTAAACAGAATTTAGTCAATTTAATAAAATATTTTATTTGGAACATTAAACAAAATAAATTAAAAATAATAAATTTACTTAATTATCTTCAGGTTGAAGAATTTTTACTGTGAAATGAGCAATAAACAGTATTTAAAGTTAAATGAAAGCAGTAAAAATCAACCACATTTCATACCAACAGTAATAAAAATGATGATATAGTAAAATGAAAAATAACATTTCTATCTATATTTTACTTGACTATGTGAATATATATTAGATACATTTTCATAAAGGTATTAACACAAAATATACCAGAAATAAAATTAAAAAAAAAAGAGAAAAATTTTTTATTTCTGTAAGTATTTATTTTCATGACTAAATTTTTGAATATTCAATCTGAAAAATTCTATGACAAATTCTGTTTTGAAACAGTTTTATTTTTATCTTGTTTTGTATCATGTCCTCAAATCTTGCAACTCAAATTTTCCAACCTTCACCATAACCATACCTCAAGATTGAAGTATTTTTAAAATTATTATCCTAACTTTCAAGATTTTTGGTTGAATAATGTAATAAGGTTTTATATTTTAAAAGTAATTAAGTACAGAGTGTAGTAGAAAAATCTGACTACTGTAAATACACAGCACGATGGAAACTATTAAAGTAAAAATGCAGAGATGTAAATTGCCATTTTATTACCAAGTTATAGTTTCTGTATGGTTCCAAGCAAAATGGTGCAATATAGAACATAACTAGAGCATCCATAGAAGTATTGTTGGAATTGTTTCTTGGCCACTTTATTTCACAAGATGATGTTTCTTACCAACTTGTCTGACCTGACCTTTACTTTTTCTTTGGGGACATCTAAGGTAAAAGTGCTTCTATAAGACAAGAATTTTAAGTAACTGAACACAATTCAAAATAAAACTAAATAGTAAGACCTAGTGAGAAGGGAATGTATAAACTTGAAACAACAATTAGAAGAATGTTGCAAAATGAAAACTGTCATATAAGTGATATGCTTTTCAAAACCTAAGTTTTTAAAACTTAATACTATAATTGATACTATACTTGATGGACTGTGTGCTATTGCATGCAAAATGTAATAAATAACTAAAAATTAAACAAATAATCTACAAAGAACAAAGAAATACATTGGGCATGCTGCTGAATACATGACACATACTAAAAAGGCATGTAACAAAGACTAATTCTGCATTAATAAATTACATTTAGCATCAAATTTTGCTGTTTTATTTTTTAAATAGTTTTTTCTGAAGCACCCTATAAAAAAGAAATTAAAAAATGAATTACAGAAACCTTAAATTCAATTAAAAAAATGGAACGCTTCCGACCATGTATAATGGCCATCTTCAGGTTCTAGAATGGAATATAATAAATGGAACAGAAAGCAAATTTGAAATTATAAGCATTCAAAAAATACAAATTTACATAGTATGTTACATGCTTAGGAGCATAAATATGATAAATAAAATATAGAAAATAAGATTAGAAATTAATAAACAAAATAAAATAATTAAATAAATACAGTGAAATATATAAATCTTGTGAGTAAAAATCTAAATATGAAAAAGGTGGAAAAGAATAGTGTAAAACTTCAAATAATGGTCTCCAAGCAAGTGACACCACTGCAGATGCTTTAAAGTTTATTGCAGTTTCTTTCTTGATAGCTTTATAAGTTTTCAAAATAAGTCATATCGAACCAAGGTGCAATGTAGTAGGTGCACTCTATTGAAAGAAACATCACCATTACAGTCACAAGCAAAGGACACCAAAGCAGTTGTACTGTACATAGGCACTTCCTAACTGTGTCTTGATATCCCTTGATTCTAGTGCCCATAGATCTGTATGTCGTTCCAACACATTTGTAGCAATGATCCAATCTGTTATCCTGTAAACTGAGTAGACCCAAGTAGAGTCCTCTCATCAGCCAGATCCTTATCATTCCTGAGTAATGAAAAGGCAGTAGGGGTTCTTTCATATGCAATTCTAAATTTGGAGAGTTCTACTATTTCCATGTAGACACAACAAAATTTTGTTGTAGATGAGTCCTAAAAGAGTCTACTATCATTGCATTTGGAATTAATTTGAGTGTGATAATGATATAGGATGGTCTTAATAAACTTCAGCTGGTAACCAAGGGCCATGGCTGTGCAGAAGGTATTGTGGCCATTGGCCATATTATTTGTGTATTTTATATTTTTATATGTAATATAAGTTAGTCTTAGCAATTCCTTTGTTCTTTGTCTTATCTATTCTCTAAAAATTTCTCTTCCACTCTGTTTATCCTTTGAGTGGGATTACCGTTTCGAAGAAATAAACAATGAAAACAATAGAAGAGTAAGACCCTGGAGGTATTGCGGGAAGGAAAGAGACTCACTTTGTGCCTGGACAAGAGAGAGAAAGGGAGTAAGGAAGATCGCTCTCGAACGGTGTGTGTAGGTTATCAGCAGAAGCGAAAGAGAAGATATTACAAGCCTTTTTTGGCTTGTAATATCTTCTCTTTCGCTTGGGTTGGGTTTTAGTAAAAAGAGAGACCTTTTAGGTTAACATGCTTGAGTAAAAGAGAGAGTCACCGAAGGATGAAAGATTCACCGAGAAGACAGGAAGTTTACAACAAAAGAAATCAAGATGAACTCAATAGTGGTGTCCCACCCAAGTACCGTGTTTCTCCAAAAATAAGACAGTGTCTTATATTAATTTTTGTTCTGAAGGTCTTATTTTCGGGGAATGTCTTATTTTTTCCAAGAAGAAGAATTCACATTTATTATTGAATAAAAAAATTCCCAAGTCTAACTTAAATGAGAGTGGCATATATCCAGTCATGTCAAACTGTCGCTTTTTTATAGCGTCGACATCGGGCTCGATGACCAATTAGCGCTTACTGAACAGTAGCACTATGCAAATGTCATGTGGCGTGATTCCCAGCCGACCAATAAGCCATCACCAGCCATAACGTTATGCAAATCTGTGATTCCCAAGCCATAGTTTTATGCAAATCATGCCGTGTGGTGTGATTGCCTGCTGACCAATCAGTGGCTGTACTTTCAAAAAGCCAACGGCCACTTTCAACCATCTGTCGATGACCATTACGAGTAAAAAAAAAACTTTGCTAGGTCTTATTTTTGGGGGGAGGCCTTATATTTAGAATTCAGCAAAACCTATGGTAGGTTTTATTTTCAGAGAATGTCTTATTTTCGAGGAAACACAATATATATGCAAAGAAAAGGAAATACCAGGTATTTCACTCTTCTTCTATTTCCACTTCCATCTATCTATTCTTGTTCCTTTCCTCTAGTTATAAGTAGAATAAGTTTTAGTTTTAAGATCTACACGCATCTGATTGTTGGGCTCTGTCTCGCACGTGTTCTCCTTTTGTACTTAAAGACAGAACACCTGTACAAGAGTTTAACTTTGTAATGTTGGGATCCATAAAGAATCTGTTTCTGTTCTTTCTGGCGAGAATAAAAGGAAATCATATTTTTGTTTAAATTAACTTGATTCGTTTATTTTGTGTTGGTCTGTTCGTGGAACCCATTACACCTCGCCACAAAATCATCACAGTATGATATAGCTCCCAGTCCCTGAGTTGAGAGTCAAAATAATGGGTATAAGCTCTTTTAACCAGCGTCTTGAAAGCAACAAGCTTATAAGAAAATAGATCATGCAAAGATGGAGGAATGAATAATGGCTTATAAAATCTTTTTCTGTAAATGTTGGTAGTGAGATAGCCGTTATGTATAATAATAAGTGTGGCTGCATACCATATTGTCTGCTTTTGTCTTGACAAAATTCCTTGTTCTTTGTTCTTTCCACCTTCTAGATCTTTCTAATCTTAATCTTTCTTCAAGGTGAGGGCCACTTTCTAGAATTCACCAACAAAATACACAAGGTTACCTGAAGGTTACCTAATACAAAGTGAATGAAGGTCACTTTGAGCTGGTCTTGAAGAAGAAAAATGACGAAAGGAGAGACATTACAGTCTCTCCTTTCTGGTACCTGGATGAAGTCAGAACTTTAAGTGGAAACTTTGAAATCCCCACTCTGAAGTTAGTGTGTTAGAGTTGGCATTTCAGTTTGATAAATCCAAATGTGCAACTCGCTATTGGAATCAAATATATGAAAAACATCAAGAAGCAAGGAAAAGGAAGACAGAAGTGAGAATTTTGTGTTTAAGAAGCTTCCATGTGGCTCCTCATGGTAAGTGAAGAATGTTTGCACTACCCAGGTGTTCTTTAACTATCCTATCTGCCATCTTTGCTACTTCTTACCCCCTATCTTCTATTTCCTTTCTAGATATAACTTAGTATTAAGGATTAGTGTTGAGAAATTTCTGTAAATGTTCGTCCGATGGAGAATTATTTTTAATAAAATTGAAGACAAAACCAAAAAGGATCACCATTTATTATTTTTTGTGTTCCAAGATTAACATTCTCAGCGACTGACTTTTCTTTGTAGGCTGCTTGTCATCGGAAAATTACAAAGAGTCCTTTTAAAAAACACAAAACACATACAATTAAAATTACAAATTTCTGAAAAAGGATCTGGTGACATACAGTTGTCCTGCTTACATCCATCTATACCTTCTTTGGGGAATTTTTGTAGGACTCTTTGTAATTTTCCAGCGACAAGCAGTCTACAAAGAAAGGTCAGTCACTGAGAATGTGTTAGTCTTGGAACACAAAAAATAAATGGTGATCCTTTTTGGGCAGTTTTGTCTTCAATTTTATTTTGTGAATATTATTTTCATCTCCTTTTTGTAATTGTTCTATTAATGACTGGATTTGGGTGGCTGTTAATAAATACCCTCCCTAGAGCTGGAGTCCCTTTGTACCTGTACTTTATCATCACACAAAATAAATAATTTTTTTATCTTCTACTTTGCATGTATTTTTCTTTTGGGGTGTTTGCTCTCATTGATCAATGAAACCGTTTCATAATTATCACATAAGAATATCAAGGAAGTGCACCTGGTAATCACTTTGTTGTTGTGGCTGTAAATCATAATTTATAGAAGTTATTTAGTTAATTTATATGTTATTAATTTTTCTTTTCTCTTATCATTTTTTCCATTTCCTTCTATTATCTTGGAGCTGTCTTTCTTCTTTGACAATGGGGGTGCACTAATTCTGGGAGAGCCTTATTTTGTCCAAATAAGAACTAGTCTGACTGGTTTCATGGTTGGCTTATAAAGAAATGAAGGAACCTCAAAGGGAGACTTTTTAAATGGAAGTGGAAACGAGACAATGTTTGGCCCAGTATAGCAGGAAAGTGGCAATTGTATGGTGCAGTCTAAGAAGTTGAGAAGATCAAACACTTGGTAGGATATTGTGAATGTTTGGAGGTTCTTTGAGAGAAGACATCTCATTCAGGTTTTTGATAGAAGAAAAAGTTCCCAAAACACTGTTTTAAGTGGTTTGTTTTATGTTTATAAGCTATTTATAAAGTACTTAAAACCTTGTGAATAGGCACACTTACTTTATTTTGGATCCTTCTTGGCACAAGCGATCTCCACTCTTACACATGTATCATGGACATCTGTTCCCACAAGTCCCTGTCCATGTGTGTTGCCAGATCTCTCTGCAACAAATACATGCTCCCATTTTTGTTTGAGAAGGACTTGATCTAACAAAAAACTTGGGTACCCTTTTGTTATCTTTCATTTGTATTTCACTTTATATTCCTAACTTTTGCCCTCTATCAATAAAAATTCTTTTGCATATTAGAATTAAGATTAGTATTAATAGTTAGTTGCAACTATTTAGTCCACTTCTCTTGTCTTCATGATAAATTAAGTTTGGTTTTATTTTAAAATATTTTGAGTGAACATTTATGTTTTATTTGGTCACTTTTATTGTATTGTTCTCGAGTGTTTGTTGGGAGTATGCTCCTTGGCTGACATCACAGGTTGTGTGTTACTTAATTTTAATAAAATTTTTGTTTGTACAGATTTTATTATGTCACAAGCCATTAATTAAAATCCTCCATCTCACAGTTCAAGACAGAATAGGAAGCCATGTGGATTGTTGTTAATGTTGTCTAGGAATTCTTGGAAAGGGGGTTCACAAGACCAAATTAAAATCTCATCCGTGTATCTGATAAAAAGCAAGATTCAATCCTCAAATTCAGGAAGAACTGCCTGCTCCAAATATTGTATAAGTTCATATAGAGTATCTGAAATGGGGCTACCCATATGTATAGTACACCTCTAGTTTCGAGATATGAGGACTCCTCAAAGATGAAAAAAGGAGTGATAAATGATGTGGGCTAATTAAAAGGTTATAGAGTGATGTTTGTCCAGATGAATAATGCTGGAAAAAAAAAGTTATGCAATTCACAGTAGCAAGATTCAATCTGATAGATAGAAAATGCAACTGAAAAATCACATANGGATAACTGAAAAACGTGTGCTGGCGACATCGTATCAGAAGCAATTATTGGAAAAAAAAAGTTATGCAATTCACAGTAGCAAGATTCAATCTGATAGATAGAAAATGCAACTGAAAAATCACATACAGTGAAGTAACAATTTAAAAATCATTAGTATGGGCTTGCCTATGCTAATGATTTCCAAATTACAACAGTACCCTTGCCAATAGTGCTGCAATGAAACATGTTTTCCTTGTCAGAACAAAATCTTAATGCCTAGACAATGCAGAATGTGAGATGAAAAATTTGTATTCTGAGACATCAGTTAAAAAGATGTGTTAAACAATAAAAATGAAATAAAAACAACTTAGTTTAAGCCATTTGAATGTTTTGTTTTTCTATTTTCAAGTATTTTAACTGTAGTTAACTACTTTCTGTGTAATTAGTGCCTATAATATATGTACAGTACAATATAAAATAATTAAGAACATCAGTTGAGAAAATAATTACAAAAATTACAAGTGATAAAAATTATCTTAAATAAAATTTATGAACTCACCTGGCCGCAGTGTCTTCATCATCAGCAGAAAAATAATATGTAGAACCTCCATATTTAGTCACCCTGAATGCATGAGGAGATCCTGCATCGGGCACTCTGCTGACTACATGACTCTGCAGAGCTAAGGCTCCTAATGGCTCATGGTCCTAAAATATTTTTTTCAATAAACTCTCTTATATGAAATAAAAATTTGGTTCTGAATTTTAGAAATAACTTATTTTAAATAAAAGTTGTAATTAAAAAATCTTAATTACTGTTTCCATTCATTAAACTAACAATCTGAAAATATTCTTTAATACACTATATAAATTTAATATTAATTCAGATTTTTTCAAGTTACTCAGTTTTCATGACACATTATGTTTGTTTGATCTCAGCAAGCAAAGTATGTTTGTCAAATGTAACAATTTTTAATTTCTTTAATGCTTTTCAGTTTAAAAAGAAGAATCTTCAGGAATATAAATAAAAATAAAAACAATTTATCATATAAATATTTTCCAGAAATTTGAAATCTTTTAAAATTATCACTTATAGGGTAAACAGTATAGTTATTGGCCACTTAAGAGAATTTTTATTTAAAAAAATTCTCTGACATTATGAATGTAATAGATTATTAATGATTATTAATCTGACATATGGCATAATAATAGGTATATAACGGCCCTCTCAACTTATGTGACAGACCCAGATATTATAGCAGACTTCACCGGAGCACATATTATCCAGAGCACCCAACCCAGAACACCTCAAATGGTTGGAGGTGATTGAATCACAGTATTAATGAATATACAAACTGAGATACCTCAAAACAAAGAATGAATTTATAAAGAAATTTATAAAGAATGATTTATAATAATAAGATCTACACACAACTTTGAGTTTGAGAATTTCAAAATCATATAATTTAATATTATTGCAATGTAAAATTTTACATTTAGTAATCTACAGTTATAGAAAAATTCTCTATTTAATATTTAAGGGGATGATCTGTTCTCAAGTATTCAATGATGCTTTTGAAAATGATGAGATTTAGGAGGATGCTGTATCAAGATTTGACTATATTTCAATCCTTAAATAATTTAATTGTGAAATTCTAAAATTAATTAAAAAAAAATAACATAATCCAATAATTTTAGTATTTTCATTAATTATCTTAAATATCATTTATAAGTTATTCTAATATTAATTATTTTTATCTAATATAATCTAAGTGATTAATCATAAATTTTCCCTAATAAAATTTTCCAACTCACATTAGAAAAATATAGCTAGATCTATTTTGTAATATCAAAGTATGTTCATATTAAAACAAATCATAACTACAATTTAATTATACTCCAAATGTAATTATGATTGTTTTAATAAATAAAGACTTCAAAAAATGTCATATATATACATATGTTACCGCTAAAGCTCGAAACTCGTTAATCTGCAGATTAACTAGTGTGATCCGTTAAAGTTGCTAAAATTGTTCTATTTCTCAAATTACCTAGGTAATGTGCAGATTATCTAGGTAATCTGCAAATTACCTACTAGGCACTTGATAAAGTGAAAATAAGATCTTTGCTGAAACAACAGCAACGTTTCTGTACGCTTAAATTAACATAATGTTCTTTATTTAATTTTCAATATCTAAAGAATCAAGTTAATACAATCAAACAATCGACAAATTAGTTGATAGAATCAATCATCAACCAATTAAAAAACATACAAAAAATCAAACGATTTAAAATATTAATACAATTAGGGAAATTATTATATAGATAACCACCTATGGAATTTCGGGACTTTGAGTATCTATCTGAACTGAGGGGACCGAGACGACTTCAACGATACCCTACTTTTGGACCGGAGACGAAAAATAATAAAGTTATCATACTTTTTCTGGTGATCGCATGATATAATTGTGCAGTTAATGTTACCTATGGTGAGTAAAATGGCGGCTCGTCTCTGATTCCAGCAAACAGAAGAAAGGAAACAGTGGGGACGCACGTTCTGTCCTAACCTAACCTATTTTAATAAATTACCATAATTATTACCAACCAAATTATTAGAATAGGTTAGGTTAGGTTTGAACGTGCGTCCCCACTGTTTCCTTTCTTCTCTTTGCTGGAATCAGAGACGAGCCGCCATTTTACCCACCATAGGTAACATTATCCAATTGTGCAGTCTAAAGATTGGTGACACTTTGAATTTCATAGCAATTGGTTTCTGCGACAAGCACACCTATTTGTGGTACATTTATTTGTGGCAAAGATCTTATTTTCATTTTACCGAGTGCCTAGTAGGTAATGTGTGGATTACCTAGATACTCTGCACATTATCAAGGTAATTTGAGAAATGGAACAATTTTCACAACTTTAATGGATCATGCTAGTTAATCTGCAGATTAACGAGTTTCTAGCTTTAGCGGTAACATATATATATAGATTTAGTTAGTACAGTACTTAAAGATTTGGTTATATATATATAATATATATATTATATATATATATATATATTTAACCAAATCTTAAACTATGCAGTTATTAACAATTGCTTAGTTGAAGCAGTAACATTAAAATAGGCAATGCTAGTCACTAGTTAATAATTAAATATATTTAAATTAACCCAAATATAAAAGATAGAATATTTATCATCATTTAAACAATTCAAGTGAAAAATGAAAGATGACGTAAAAAATTTAATCTATTTAATTAATTAAATTAGATGTCATTTTCTATGTGACCCTATATTATCAAAATATCACATTATGATAAAAATAGAGCATTGAAAGAAACTGCAGGTAAAATAAATATCTAACATATGTCAATATATACTGTACATTAAACAAAAATTATTATAAACAGCAAGATTTTATAAATTAATTTCATGTCAAAACTTCAAATATAATGCAATATTAAAATACTAGCAGATATGCCTGGCGTTGCTCGGACAAAAAGTAAAGATAGCAAAGATTAAGATTATTAGATTATAGCTGATCTTACCCATTTTCACTGAGTGCAAGAATTAGGTCCCCCTCTTCCGAGACTAATTAGAGAATTTTGATATCTGCTTACCACACCAATATAATGATAAATAAGACTCACTGCAACCACTAACCAGTGTGTAGTACCACTAAGTGATAAATAATAAACTTTTTCGTAACGTTTGTGCTTATTATTATCATTATCAATCCATCTCATTTATATTTTAAGATTTCATCTATATAAGACATTTGTTTTTTAAAAAACATGAAGTTATGAAATTTGTTATACTTATTAATAACATAAAATTTCTAATAAAATAAATATTGTTATTTAAACTTACTGAAATTCAATAAATTTTATATTCAAGACATACAGAAATAAAAATGTTATTTTAAAATCAAATTTATTGTTTATAATTACAATAGATATATAAAGTATCTTGAATATATTTTTGAATTTATAATATTTAACACTATTAAAACTAATGGTAAATATTTTCCCTTACCTCTGGTGATCTATACCAATAAAGACTATTATCTGGTTTCAGCATAAACCATCTTCTACACCATCTTTGTGCACTAAGATTACCAATACTTAATCTTTGCAAATATCCAGATAATAATGGATTCTGGACAGTTTGATTAATAATAGGTGCCAGAACATGACATGTTCTAGCTACTTCTACATGAAGCACATCAGTTCCTAAAATAAATTTAATTATTTTTAATATCATAATTACTTTTGTAAAAACTATATCATAAACTTTAATCATATAATAGATATTTTAAATAAAGTATGCTTTTAAGTGCACTTTATTTTAAAGCATTTTTGAAAATTTTTAAATTGTCTTCTATTTATTAGTTCTACATAGTATAATAGTATATTTCATTATGTAATGTTAATGTAATTAAAACATTGAACATCTTTTGGAAAATACATAATTTTTAATAAATGCAATAAGTTTTCTTAATGAAAAATTTAATTATGAAGTCTTATAAGCAGAATAAATATTTAAAAAATTATTATTATTTTATTATATTGACTAAAAACAAAAAGTATAATAAGTACATCTGTATACATCTATCTAATATGCTGACTGTGTTTTAATTGCTTAAATATCTCTTCAATCAATTACAACATGATTAGTATCTGTGATGAAAATTTTATCATATTTTAATTTATTTCCAGGTTATAACTATCTCAGTGTTAAGAACATACAATAATTTTTGACAAATCTTAATTAATTGAAGATGTCTGCATCAAAAAATTTGCTGTATTTCATTAATTTTATATTGTTCACCAAAAAATAATAAGAATTTGTTATATCATGCATAATTAGTATTACAGAAAAATATCTCTAGATAAATCATTAACTTTTTACATGAATAAAAAATTAAACAACTGACATATCTTAACTGTAATAATGTAATTTTTATTATTATGTCATTTTCTGAGACATCTTTTTATTTCAGTAATACTGTATTGCATTTAAGTTTTGTTATTAATCTTAGAAATTAAAGAAGAGATAATCTTAGAATCAAGTTTAATCTGAAATTTTTAAAAATTTAATATAAATCTTATTACAGTGGTACCTCAGGTTACGACCGCCCCAGCATACGAAATTTTCAGGATACGACATGAAATTCGAACATATTTTTGCTCCACGATACGAACAAAAACTCACCATACGACGTTACATTAGTTCGCATTTTTCATTTGTTTTTCTTACTACAGTTATTTTTTTNTAATTGTTGTAATTATTTCATTATCAAATCTTAATCTGTAACAGGAATAAGAATGAAATAATTGCATTAAACAAATGATACTTCTGGATTTTGATTGGGTCATAATATGGCTAATTAATTATTAAGATATTTCATAATTTGGACTAAAAGCATGCATTTAATTATTAAATTAATTAATTTTAGAATATTTTTGAAGTAAAAGATTAATCTGGGGAGGGATTTGAACTTGCAACTTCTGCAATTACTTTACAAGATATAGCCATAAAGGTTATTTGCCATGCAGCGAGTGACTTGTATTGTTGTAACTTTTAAATTAATTGTTCTGCAATAAAGATCGGATAGAGGTCTGAGTAGTGTAATTGGCAATGCATCTGCACAGTAGGCGAAAGTTGTGGGTTCAAGTCATGTTTCAGATTGGTCTTTTCTTCAAGAATATTCTTAATTAATTTCTAATTATCAAGTTTAATACAAGATGGCAGCTTAACTGCATACCTTTACTCCAAATTATGTAATATCTTTATAATAATTAGTCATTTTATAGCCAATTAAAATTTGGCAATATCCTTTGTTTATAATTATATGTTGAGTTTGATTTTATATGTAATTAGTAAAGTTATCTAGGTACTAAAAATCATAAGTTTTATGTAAATAATAACTTATGATTTTTATTGCCTAGATATTCTAGCTTTAGTAATTATATATATGTATGTTTGTTTGCTTATTTATTTATGAGTATACAATTATATTTTATAGAGCATTTATTATGCAGGAATTTTTATTTGGATATTTTCAAATTTAATTTTTTTACTATAATGTTTAATGAATGAATCATTTTGTGATCATGTAATTATAATGTTACGTTAGGCACAAGCTCCTCTCCCTATGCATAAAAGCACTAATAAATGTCTACCTCTAATACCAAATTACTTAATATCTAATTATTAATAGTAGCAAAAACTAGCCCAAATAATTACAGTGATCATTTGGTTTAGTATAAGTTAATTCAATTTGAGATTGAATTTTTTTGTCTATATCATATCAACATTTACACTCAGAGTATTCTGCAGTCTGTACCTCTGTTCATACTCAGTAACTAATTCCTGCCATACAGCCACATTGTTTGCAACAGAACTACTTAACAGTGCAGTGCCATCTGAAGAATTTCATCATACCATGAGATGTGGTGGCTGAATGAGCTGAGTAAAATATGTAAAAGATGACATTGCACTGTGTTTAACAGTGTTGTCTCAGAAGGGCATATGACACAACTGCTCTTATGGAATTGTTTTTAATCACACACTGTTTTGATCAGTCTAGTTTGGTTAAAAAAATAATGCTAATTTAATCTTCTATAATAATTTATATAATTACTAAGTAATAAAAATCAAAATATTATTTTACAATTTTATTTTTCTTTGGCATCCTGCAGTACTTATCATGAACCACTGCTGGTTTAGAAATAACAAAAACAATGTCATACAGGTAAGCATTTTCTGGCATGAAAGCAATCAAAAGATCTCCATAAGATAAACTGCATTATTTCTTAGTGCAACAGTTTATAACTATATCTCATCATTCATTATTATTATTTTTTTATTCCTAACAGAAAAATTAGATATAAGAAATGTTGGTAACATATCAACAAGGATAACAGTTTGGTTCGATAATTCATAGCTTACTTGTCTCAGTCTAATAATACATATACAGTGGTACCTCGGTATATGTCTGCTTTAGAATATGTCCAATTTGGAATACGTCCTGTTTGGACGAAATAAATTTTGCTCGATATACGACTTTTGTTCTGTATACGACTTTTGTTCGGTATACGACTTAATTCAATTATACGCGCCATCTAGGAACAAGTAGCACTATCGGTGTACTAGACCAGACTAGACGTTCGCGGTGCAACGGTTTATAACTTGATTAAATTTCTTCTGGTTTTAATTTGTATGTAAAATTTTATTATTTTTATGAATCATGAATCGCAAAAAGGCAAATGAAAAGTGACATAAAACTAAAAAATGACTAGAATCACAATGAAACTGAAAAAAAGAGATTGTTGAGAAATACGAAGGTGGCACGCATGTTCGAGAATTTAACTGTTGCATACCGTATTCCGAGAACGACGATATGGACAATCGTGAAAAATAAACGTTGCGAAAGGGGTTAAATCAATTTCTAAACAGAGATCGAAGACGTTAGATCATGTCGAGAAATTGCTTTTGCTTTGGATAACTGAAAAACGTGTGCTGGCGACATCGTATCAGAAGCAATTATTTGCGAGAAAGCTAAAAAGATATATGCTGATCTCGTGAAAAATCAAGCAGGAACTAGCCAGGAAAGTGAGGTGTTTAAAGCCAGCCATTTTTTTACATGAGAACGGATTAACCATTTTTACATTACTTCTTATGGGAAAGGTTGGTTCGGTATACGTCCAATTCGGTATAAGTCCAAACATCGGGAATGGATTAAGATCGTATACCGAGGTTCCACTGTATATGATTTTGACCTTAGGATATGTTACACAAAAAATAGACTTCTGGTTCATATCACCAATGCCCTAATGTTGCCAGCTAAAAATGCATATCATTTCAATAATTGAAACAAAGGACAACACTAATTTTGCTTGTAAATTAAACTGTATTGTCTTGTGTTTCAATTATTGAAATGATATAAAAAATTTATTTGTTAAAATTTACATACAGTACATAGAATATAATTATTAAATTTACATCTAATGCCTATCTCTAGGCAAAGTTAATGAATATTTAGTTGTGAAAGAAAGTAAAAATGTAATCCCTGTATGCTAAGAAATATTTTGTATTAGACGGCACTGTCTACTGTTGGCGCACTTTACATTTTTTTGGTCATATGTTACAATATTGTTTAGTATGATACATCTCTGTGTTGAATCCCATCATTCAGCTTTTTTTCATGTTACATCTAACTGTATATTTTTGTACGTTCATTAGATTTGTTTATTTGCTTCATTTTCTGAAAGGTTATGGGCCCAGATTGCTTACAAGGAAAGAATATCTAGTATAAGAAATAAGTACACAAATTTATTATCTAATATGGTCTGGGGGGGTTCCTAGTGAATTCTCAAATATTGAGAAGTTGAACAAGGACAATTATGAACTTTGGAAATTACAGATGAAAAGTGTTCTTGTGTATAATGATCTGTAGAAATACGTTAATGGTACTGAAATTAAACCAGAAAGAAGTTCAGAGGAATGGATCAAGCAAGATGCAAAGGCGTTGAGGCTGATAAATCTAAGCCTTAGTAAGATAAACGACTTCCAACCACTTAACACTGCATTGAATAATAACAATCCACGAAAAATCTTTATTTTTACGAGTGTTATGTCACTATTAAATTCCACAAGTACTTTCGACCTCCACCGAGGTCTGCTTCAGGTGGTGTCCCACGAAAAACCTTTGTAACGAGTGTTATGTCACTATTAAATTCCACAAGTACTTTCGACCTCCACCGAGGTCTGCTTCAGGTGGTGACTGGCCATGTTTCGACCTGACCATCGTGACGATGTTGCCAACGATGTAAATAAATAAATGTGCGCGTAGGGTTTCACCCCTCCGACTGACACTGTTCAAATTCCTCGAACAAGTACTTCCACGCCTGTGGAAGCGTTTCCCCATCCTTGTAGTTGATGCAGTTGCCCCCCCTGATAGCTTTATGGATCTCCCAGGCCTCCAGGTGGCTGATGTGATCCGCACAGAACGCTTGTCTGATAAGTCTGGTGTTGCGGAAGTCCGCCCTTATTTCAGGGTCGGTGACATAGGTCGATAAGGTGGTGGTGTGTCTTTTATGATTAATATCAGCTTGGTGTTCACGTATTCATTTCTGTGTTGACTGGATGGTGGAGCCAATATAAACTAAGTCCCTATTGAATCTATCGTCCCAGATGGGAACGGAGTAAACACCTGGAGCTCTGGTGAGATCCATCGCGTCCTTGGCGTTGCGCAGCAGGTCGTAAAGCGTGCCGGTTCTTAAGTACGCGATTTTGGTGCGGCTGTTGTGAGCGATCTCCCTATATAGGGGGTCTAAATGTAGGTTGAACCAGACAACCGCGCGTCTGGCGTTCCTATCTGGTTGTCATGACGGTCGGGTCGAAACACGGCCAGTCACCACCTGAAGCAGACCTCGGTGGAGGTTGAAAGTACTTATGGAATTTAATAGTGACATAACACTCGTAAAAATAAAGGTTTTTCGTGGATTGTTACTAAGCCTTAGTCTTGGGCAGTTGAACCACTTGAAAAACGTCAAAGCATTTAAAGAAGTGTGGGAAGGACTTAAGGCAATATTCCAGTCACAAGACCCTGTTAGAAAGGCAATGTTGTACAAACAGTTACTACAAATGAAAAAAGGGCAGAATATGACGATTACATAGTACATAAACGAGTTCATGAGTAAAGCTGATCAACTGAATGAAGTGGGAATAGAAATCCCAGAAGAATTACTATCGATTATGCTCCTCAGATCACTACTGGATAAATATGAAAATTTTAGTATAGCCATAGAGTTACATAACAACATACAGTCACTCGAAAACCTCAAAGCAAAATTAAAAGAGAAGGAAGCAAGACAGAGGGAGCACATTACGAAGCTAACTGAGAACGAGAGAAGTGATACATTGCTTTCAAAGGAAAAGTCTGACTGTGTAAAGCAGTCACGAATGAACTTGAGGGAAAACAGTACAAGATTCAGAGGACAAAGATTTGATGGAAGGTGCTACAACTGTGGTAAAAATGGACATATCAGTTGAAACTGTAAATCGAAAATGAAACGCACAGACGTAAAAGTTACTAGCAGTACCCTTACTACAATTGCACACAACATGGAATTCACAAATGGATCAAAAAAGTGGTATTTTGAGAGTGGTGCAACAAGACATATGTACAATGACAAATATAAATTCTTAACCCTAGATCAAATTGAACAGTCTAAAGTATATATTGCCAGGGAGAATTATGTACAAGCAGTTGGTATAGGTGATGTGAATCTCAACTTGAAAGTAAATCAATGAGCAATAAGTTCCATAAAACTAAAAAAACGTATTTCATGTACCAGAATTGCATCACAACCTTTTATTGGTAGCAAGCATCACTGACAAGGAATACATTGCTGTATTTAAGGAGAATTATGCAATCATCAAACTTAAAGATGATACTATGATGCTAACAGCTATGAAACGTGATCACTATATGAGAGACTACAGGGGGTTGTTACCGAAAAGTTAGCAATATGTTACCCTGTCGAATCGCTAGATCTGCTCACTGCGTCTAAGGATGGCCTTTTTGAGTGGAAGTGGAGATGAAGATCGTGTGATCTCGATCACTCTGACACCAGTTAAACTATTATTTCTAATCGCGGTTTAACTCACAATCTAAAAATTTGTCTATCATTAAAAGGAGGCTAATTAAATGATGAGTGGGGAAGATGCGGGTAAGAGATAAGGTGACTGTTATGCACTAAGTTGGCAACAACTAACTGAACAAGTAAATAACAAAATTTTAATAACAAAAAGGGAAATTAATTACAAATATAACAACTAAATATTCCATCTAGTTTAGAGAGCGTTACAATATAATAATTCCTAATATGGGAGATAAGAGAGAGAGTTTACAAATGATATTATATTACTCTGATAATATAACTTGACTTATCCCAATTCTATTTGGTGGGAGGAAGTGCCAATCCCCAGGAGTATGTCACACAAATTCATAAGAGAATACCTTATGATGTGTGCAGATTTTGGTGCATATCCCTCTTCTATACTCTTTTTCTCCTCCAATGAATGTTAAGAATGAAGATCATCTGACAGAGTATCATGAAGAATCTTTTTGGTTTAGTCAGTCCTTTAGTCATGGGAGATAAAGATCTCTCTCGGGAACTGACTGTCATCACAGGAAACATTTGTTCCTTGTTCTCTTTGATTTTTAGCTTTGATAAAAATATAGAAATATTATATTTCATTTTTAAATGATTTTCTATTAATTTCTAAAATATTTTATCTCAAAATATTCAGAATCCTACATATATGTTGTCAATGAAATGGAAGACAAAACGATGTTTTTGGCAGAAATTTCTGACAAAAACCTATTAAAGTGGCACCAAAGATATGGGCACATAAACATTAATGATTAAGAAAAATAAAAATGGAACAACTGGTCAAAGGTATGGACCTTTCAACGAAAGCAAGAGAATTGAACTGTAAAATATGCCTTAGATCCAAAATACATGTTCAACCATTTAAGAAGTTGCATCATGAAGAGAAAGAGATTTTGGACTTAGTGCATTTTGATATATGTGGTCCAATGAAAACTGTATTGTGAAATCTGCAAATTTAATGCAGTTGTCAGAAATTTAATTGTAAACAGATCCGATAGAAAAAACGCTCCTTGCGAGAATTAGATCAGAGGTCACCATTTGTAATAATAATCAGATGGAAAAGTTGACACCTAGGTGTCAGAAAATACACTGTTATCGTCAACATGGACAATCACATGACCCCTTTCCCAAGACAACGATATAACAGCAAGAGCTACCAGAAGCTTGGGGCGATTGAACTGGAAGTTATATTTGGTAACTGTGCCCATTCCGTCTCCCGGACCTCCATACAATGAACCCGATCCAACAAAAGGAAAGACAGTGGTTGGAAGACACTCAACGGTTGCAACACTTCCATATAGAACTATTATTGCCACATATAGCTCTCCTCCAACATTAGAGGTAATTATTAGGGGACACTCTCTCTTTCTGAAAAATAGGCCTAGCCAGTAAGTTAGCCCTTTGTAAAATACTACACTGAGTGATTACATTATAACCTATATAATCCTGTAACTCTGTGTAGCCTCATCTATGTTATAGTTATAACAAAATAAAGGTTTATTATTTGACTATGTTAAACCTGTCTCCTGTCTATTAGGACACCTGTCAACTTACCAATAACCTCCCCACTCGATAATTTGTTCTCCTATAAAAGTTTAGCGATATGATGACACAGAGGTCAAGTTTCAACAACCCGTGCAGCGTAAGTTAAGCAGGGGGACCACTGGATCAATCCAGTGGTCCCCCTGCTTAACTCAACTCACAATATCGTTAGGAGGTGCAAAATATTTTGTAACGTTTATTGATGATTGTACATGTTGTATGGAAACTATAATGCTAAAAGTCGCTCAGATATTCTCCAAGCGTTCAAATCTTATAAACAAAGAGTCAAAAAACAAATAGGTTATCAAATCAAAAAGCTACATACAAATAATGGTAGAGAATATTTATCGAACAAATTTAACAAATTCCTCAAAGAAGAAGGAATCGTATGACAATTAACTGTCGAGTACACCCCACAACAAAATGGTGCAGCAGAACATGCAAATCGGGCACCTTGTTGAAATGGTGGGGTGTATAATGTTGCAAGCAGGTCTGCCTCAGTCACTATGGGCAGAAGCAATCAATACGCCCACATTTCTACAAACTAGAAGTGCGACAAAAGCCCTGGATGGAAAAACACCAAATGAGCTATGGTTTAAGCATAAACCTTATGTTGGCTTCTTTAAAATCATCAGAAGTAATGCTAAAGTGCTAGATAAGACTCAAAAATTAGGAAATTTTCATCCGAAAGGCAATGGTGTTGGTCAGATACTTGTATGAGTGAAAAGCATATTGACTCTGGAAACAAGAAACTAAGACTGTCATCATAGCATGTGACATGAGATTTGTTGAAACAATCCATATAAGTAACACTTTTCTGAAGAGTATCTCCACTGAGCCAGATTTTGCTGCTGAAATACCAAACATGTGTATAGTGCCACTAAATCAGATGACAGAGATGAACGGTGAGGACAATACAAAACTAGATGGAGAATCTGATAATGAATCTAATGTGAATGAATATCTAGAAAAAGAACAACAAGAAATTCAAGAGGAGAGTCACATGGGCTAATGAAAATGAGGTCATCCAAAAATTCAAAGAACAGGAAAATGTGGAAGACTGAGAAAAGTTTATCAAGTTGTCAGAGGCAAAATTCCAGACTATGAACATGTATCTGAAGTGGCGTTAAATCAAGATGATAGAGAAGCATGACTAACCGTCACAAAAAAAGAATACAAGAGCCTACGTGAGAACAACACATGGATCTTAGTACTGACACCAAACACAACAAATTATTGGATATTTAAAACAAAATCCAACCAACAAGGTAACATAGAAAAGTATTGTTAAGTCCAATATACAATTAAACAAAATTGTAACACATGTCAGGTGTGTGTATGTTATCGAGCGTTGATGTACAGTCCACAGAATTGTCACATGTCTCAGGTGGGTTGATGTAATCATATTCCTAAGAATGCGGGGTGAGATTGTCCCACCTAGAGAGGGAGAAATTGTGTGCTTCCCTCTGATGTGTCGAGTCAGTGCTGACTGGAGTGCTAAACGGGGAGTGCTTACATGTCCAAAAATATTTGGACTTGTAAACAAAAATACATTATTTCATGTTGTAATGTTTATTCCATATGTTCAAAATACAATGTCAAATATATAAGAATTTCTATAAAATATTCAATATTATAACTTAGACTCCTAAAATTATTTAAAGTGCAAACAATAGATGTTTTTTTCTTTCATTATTTTAACTTTTGCATCATAGTACTTAATTGAAATCAATGATGCTGAATATCTTAAAATTTATTAAATAGTATTAAAAGTAAATAAACAAAAAAAAAATGTATTACCTGTATGTGCAATTTTTACTACTTCCGAATGGGGTGCTTCTAATACATTGATTCCATTAATGTTAATGATAATATCACCAACTTCTAAACCACAAGTTTCTGCTGGAGTTCCTAAAATAAATAAAACAAAAGGCAACCTCAATATGAAATTTTGTAATCTTCCTAAATCTTTAATTTATATTAATTTAAAATAGCATCACTTATGTGAAGTTAATATTCTTGTGCATTTCTAAATGTTGCTGTTTGTTTATTTCAAAAATTGTACAATATGGTCTTGTTTTATGCAGGAGTTTGTGTCAGCAGGTTTTGCATAAAGTGAAATTCACATAAATTTGTACTTCATCCCAAGTAGTCCCAGATAATTGCCTAGACATTTATGTAACCATTTACAAATAATAGAAAAACATTAAAATGGATTTTAAATCCTTTTAAAATGTCAATTTTTTAAAGAAAATATTTCCTCAAAATATTGATGAAACTTCATGGGTTAATTCCACAGAAATAACTGCCGTTTTTTTTGCCTGGACCGCATTTAATCAGAGACAAAAGCTTATTTTCNCCTACCTCTTATGACAAATTGCTTTAGTCTAATCATTTAAGTAGCCATATATTAGCCCGATATTTAGGCGATCGTTTGGCAAGTTAGAAATGGATATATTTTGAGAATCCTAAATGCAAGAAATCGTGGATTGATCCAGGCAAACCATCAACATCTTTCCCAAGACCAAATCGCTTTGGACGGAAGACAATGCTGTGCGTTTGGTGGGATCAGCAGGGTATTATCTACTATGAGCTGTTGAAACCTGGTGAAACTGTCAATGCTCACCGCTACCACCAACAACTGATCAAATTGCACTGTGCTCTGAGTGAAAAAAGGCCGGATTATCAGCAAAGACACGACAAGCTGATTTTCCTCCACGACAATGCACCATCACATATGTCAACATTGGTCCGAAACTACTTGGAGACACTCAACTGGGAGGTGCTACCCCATCCCGCTTATTCACCAGACCTGGCCCCTTCCGACTATCACTTCTTTTCATCGATGGGCCACGTGCTTGCTGAGCGGCACTTCAATTCTTACGAAGACGTCCGAAAATGGCTTGATGAGTGGTTTGCCTCGAAAGAGAAGAAATTTTTTTGGCATGGTATCCACACATTGCCCGAGAGATGGAACAAATGTGTCACTAGTGAGGGAAAGTACTTTGAATAAATTTGTTTTTTGCTTTCTAAGAAAAAAATGTGTGTTTTTCTGACTAAAAAGCAGCGGATTTAAGCTTATACACCTATGTAACAATGTAACTTCTATTGATCTAACAAAGCAGATAATTTAGCAAAATTATAGAACAAATGAGAAATTATTTATTATGAAATTGCCGTAATGCTGGATGCAATTTTTAATCATCTTTTAATTTTAAAAAAATCATGTGTTTTCTGATTCAGACTAGAAGTTCAAATATACAGGAAATCCTCATTAATTCAAACTCAGATTGTTTGAAATCCAGTTAGTTTGTCCTGGCCAGGGACATAGGGATTTACATGTTAAGGAATTCACTTAGTTCAAAATACAGCTACTTTGAAATTTGAAGTGAAAATTCTGTCTGAACTGTAATATGCATACGTTAACTCATGTTTAGATCAAAGTTTACATGCTCCTTATTATAAGAGAACAATAGACCACAAGCAATTCTAATCTGGTCAATCTGGTTACCCATTGACTACGCTTTTTCTCTTATCTCAAAATATAATTGGGTTTTGGTGTTCCAATATTGGGCTACAAATAGCAGATTGAGATATTTGTAGGGCTCTATGCTACTATATTGGGCAACTTTCTATTTTTTGGACTACTTTAAAGATAATTTGTGCTACATTTCAAGAATCTACTTTACTTTTTATAAAATCTATCTGTCAACCTGTGAAGTTCTCATAGAACACATGCTGCTTACCTGTAGTTTATTTATATTATTATTAATAATTAATTAATTAATGAAAGTAGNGATAATGGAATTTCTGCAATTTCACTCATTATAACAATTAGTTATTATTTCTTTCCCTCTTCTTTGTTATTGTCTTCCAATTAGTAAAAAACTATATTCAAAGGAAAGGTGTCAAGTTTATAAGCAGTTAACAAGTTGCAGGTATACTAATCTCAACAACAACTCCATATTTTGATAGAGATATGTGTAAGGATGGTGCATCTTAATAACATAAGTGTAAGGATGACTGTTTTATGCATCTTATTTTATTATTTATCTTACTCTTTACCTAAGGCACAAGAATAAGATGGCACCAAAAAACATCCATAGGAGTGAAATGTTGCCAGATTCATTCTGATCATTAAAAGGGCTTTTCTCCCATGTCCATTATGGTTTGGCCAAGCCCATACATGAAACTGTCTTTGTAAGATATATTTAACATTTTATTTTTATACACTATAATAGAGCTACAAAATACTACAGCTGTAGACTATGACTCTACAGATAGATCAATTATAAAGGTACAATACATTCAAATATTTCCTTTATTTGGATATCTCTAGACATAAAGAATGTGGTCATGACAAAATCAATCTGCTGAAAACTAACAATGGTCCCTTCTTATATACAAGTTAAAAGACCCTTTCAAATACAAAATAGCTACCTTTGGTACCTTTAAGGAGAGCAATTTATTTACTTGTGAAACTGACGTATGTACCAAAAAAATTCTCCAAATAAAACAAATAGTTCATTCCTGTGGCTACTCACCTATAATAATTAGAAACTTAATAAAGAGCATTCACCACAGAAGATGAGAAAATGCAGGCCTACACAAAACAGCTGAAACCATTGATACCACTCATATTAAAATTACAGGGATAACTACTACAGAATAATAATATAGTTTTTTGCTGAATATCAGAAAATGACTTGTCACATTACAGCCTCCTATGGTGTTTGATTTACTTAAAAACAGAAATGCTTCACTACAAGAGAACCAGAAAAGTGGTTATCTAAAAAATACCCATATACCTGGATCATATTGCTGATATAAATGTTATAACTGGTTTAATCAATGTTAATAGTGTATGGTTCTATGGTTGTCTCATTTTCGTCACCGCATGTGATAGAATAAATGATATAAAGGTTATAACCCAACAACTAAGTTTATTGTCTTCATCACAAAAACTGTACACGTGTCTCATTGTTGTGGCTAACAACTAATGGTACTCACTGGGTGTGTTTAGACTCATTCTAGGAAATGATGATGCATACTACCCAGAGTTTGTTGCTTGTTTTCATAACAGTTAAGATGGGGAAGGTAGCATTTGCCATAGAGTAACCCTCAGTGAGGGACAAGAGATACAATTGATGTGGAAGGAGTTGCTTAATATTATATTATGGTCACTAGTCTTTTAGAAAAATGAACACGATGGCCTGATCTTGTGGTAATGATCCAATCTTGTTTGGAGGTTATTTTCAGTTTTTTTGTTGTTGGCTGTTAGAAATAACAATGCGGTTTGTGATGGTCTTGACTGGATGGGTTTGATATTGGATTGCTGGAGTAATTCATCCTGTAAGATATATGCTGATTTTACTTTGTCAATGGAGAAAGTGGATTTGTGACTGTGGATGTCAATTACTATTGTTTTGTCATGTTTATCTTGCACTTTGTGTGGACCTGAGTAAGGCTGACAAAGAGGCAGTTGGTTTGTGTCAAATCATAAGAAAATATGTCTACATTCTTTCAGTTCTGGATGAATGAAAATTTTTTCTGTGGAATCAGAGGAGGTTGCTAGTGATTTCAGATTGGCCATGTGGTGTTTCAGTTAACTGACAGAAGATTTGCAAGAAATTCATGGAGTATCGGGGCTGTTGATATTAGCTGATAATTTTAATGGGGTGCCATATAACAGTTTTGCTGCTGTTGTGCCTATATCGGCTTTAAGTGCTGAACAAATACCTAGAAGAACTACCAGAAGAGCATCAGTCCATTTGATGGATTCATGTGCCAATAGCCTTCAGATGGCTATGTAATCATTCTATTAATCTGTTTGAATGGGGATGATATGCTGCTGAATGGATGTAATTGGTGCTGAGAAGTCTGGTCAGTTCTCAGAAAAGGTTTGATTCAAACTGGCACCTTTGAACAGTGGTAATGGTAGTAAGTATACAAAGTTTGCGATCCAACCTTAGAAAAAGGCTCAGCAGATATGTTGGAAATTGTGATGACTTCTGGACATCTGGTATAACAGTCTATCACTGTAAGGCAGTAGTGTTTTCTGTCAGTTAGTGAAAGTGGTCCTATCAGATCCATGTAAAGATGGGAAAATCTTGCTTCCAGAAGTGTAAACTTTCCTTTTGGTGTTTGGTTGTGGCTGTGGATTTTTGATTTCTGGCAGAGGATGCAATGTCGTGTCCACTGACAGATGTCCTTCCAAATCCCTGGCCAAACATAACAGCTTGAAATTAGTTTAGTGGTTGCTGTTGCTCCTGGATGCAAAAGTCCACATAAGTGATTGGAAATTATGTGACATGAAAGGGCAAAGGATTCCGGATGATGTGTCACAATATAAGTCAATTTCATTAGGTAAAAAGGATTTCAACTCTAGTCTGGGTGACATAAGATCCTTTAACAATCGATGATGCTCTGAATCTGTAGCTAGCGTTGCGGCTAGCTCTTAGAAGTCTAGAGGAAAAGCAGAGGTAATTGAGTCTATCTTAATGTGGGAGAGAGTATTTGCTATTGTATTGGCCATTCCAAAATATGACATATGTCCATAGAAAATTGAGATATAAAATTGAGATGCTGCATTTGTCATGGTGAACATTTTATATACACCTTCAAACAAACCAGATAAGTGGTTTTTCATCCATGTAGATCATAAATTCCCAGCCTTCTAACATGTGACAAAATAATTTTATTGATGTGTATATTGCCGATAGTTCTCTGTCTGACCAGTTGCATTGATTTGGTTTCAGTTTTGCTGAGATAAAAGCAATGGGTTCCTGTTGTGTTGTGTTGCATCAGTGCTCTGCCAACTGCTGCATCTACCCAAATGCATAGTTTAGCTCCAGGTACTGGATGATGAAAGAGTGTGGCTTTGGACAGTGCTTTCTTAGCTGATATGAATGATTGTTCTGCTGCTTCTGACCATTCCATAGATAGTGATTCTGTTTTCCAAGTGAGTGATGTACATTTCCCATTCTTTTTTTATTCTAGCAGATGCACTAGTGGGGTGTGAATGTGTGCCACTCAACAAATACATCTCCTGTAGAAATTCATTATGCCTAAGAACTGCCTAAGTTGGATGAGAGACGAGAGTTTGTGAAATTCTCAGATGGCTCCGATTCTATCAGGGAGTGGTTCTAGACCCTTTCCTGAATCCTTGAGGTCCAAGAAATTTGATTAATGGTACACTAAAAGTACTGTACATTTCAATGGATTTATGTCAATCTATATGCTTGAAGGCATTGAAATAAGGCATGAAGATGAAAGATGTGTTCTTCCTGGGAGTATGATGCTGTTAGTATGTCATAGATGATATATATGGAAAATGTCCTTTGGTTACTTCATCAATGAACCATTGAAGGGTTGCAGATGAGATGCACAATTCAAATTGCAACCTGATGCTCTCAAAAAGACCAAATGGTGTCATTATAGCTGTTTTGTGTACAGTAATGACACAAAACAGCTATAATGCTGTGCATGGATAAATGGGTATTTGATGATAGGCCTTGATTTCTATGTGCGAGAAGATTTATGTTTAGTGCAGTTCCAATGTGAAATCTTTGATGTTACGAATGCCATATCTGTCCTTATGGTTTGTGCATTTAGTGCACAATAATAGCCCACAGGTCACCAATCTGAACTGCTTTTCTTGGTGACCATGTGGAGTAGTGATCCGTAATTGCTTTTTGATGTTTGCATATGGCTGAGAGCTATCATCTTGTTAAATTCGACCTTGGCAATTTTAAGCCTACTGGGTGCTAGGTAACGTGGTTTCACATTTATGGGCAGACTGATGGTTTCTATATGATGTACTGTACAGTATAATGCTGTGTTTCACATGTTGATTAGGATGTGGTGGTCTGATGATCTTGGGAAATTCTTCCAATATCTTATGAAATATGGAGTTGCCAGTCATTACCTTAATGGAATAGATGAAGATCTCTAATAATTTGTCTGGAGAGCTCATTTGTGAGACACTTGCATCTGAGATTTGGTACAAAGTGGAAATGATACAAAAAAATCAGTGCCTATTATTGCTGTTGACACGTTGCCAATAAGAAATTTTCTGCAAAAAATTCTCTTTAACCTAAAATTGAGTGAGTGTTTGCTGATCATAGATATGAATTGCAGTTGTGTTTGCTGCCATCAAGGTCATTTGAGTTGAGCACTTCTTTTGTGACGAAAAGGCTGGAAAGATTGATATGTCGGAACCTGTGTCAACAAGAAAGTTTATGTTCATTTTCTCGTCTAGGATGAACAGGCAACAAAATTGTTCCAGCAAAGTGCATGTCATCTCTATTTTTTGCTGCTCTTGTTTGTTGAAAAGCTACATGGTGGAGTACATTTTTGTGCCTTTGTGCTAAAATCATTGAATAAAAGATTGAAGGAGCACGATTATGATATCATTAATAAAAGGCACACCACCGCCCTGTCAACATTTGCGACTGAACCAGGCATAAGAGCTGACCTACATGAGGCCAAACTGATTAAACTGTCTCACCGTGTAGAACACCTACGAAACCTTGAGGCACTTGAAATTTACAAAGCCGGGTTACGCACCAATTGCATTAACTCTAAGGATGCTGGTAATTTGTCACACGCTTGGAAATACTGCTATGAAGGAACAGGCAATGACCACAATAGTGGTTAGAAGCCACACCCCTATTTTGTGTATTAATATATGTCACTATAGGAGCGTATGTAGCACGTTTATGTCATTATATGTAAGTCAACGTATGTAGCACATATATGTCATTATAGGAATGTATTTTCACATTTAACATGTCGTTGCCATGGCAATGCACACGCTTAACTTTTTATTCTTTTAAATTACGTTGGTAAAGTTCCATTTTTTGAAAATAATTTCAGAATTTTTGTTCTATGCATTCACATGTTCGAATATAACTGGTTTTTTAAACCTGAAGAAGACCGAATGTACGGTTGAAAACGTTAGTTTGCTATTAAATGTTTATTACTGGAGTTATAAGGTTTAGGAGTGTTAATTTATACA